TTGTCTCTCTAGTTGGACAAAAATATATTTTTTGCCTCATAAAAATAATATTAATAATAATAATACTTATTGTGCAGTCCACAGTGGGTAAAACATGCATGGCTGTCTATGCATCTAAATACAGCATTCTGCAATCAAGAGCAATTAACAATCCATTGTCAATTCTAAATATGCCCTTTCAACTAATAGATTGGTCTTCGTATGAAGGGCTTTTCTGCATATGAAAGAAAAATTGGGTCAGCATTAAATGCCTTTTGTATTCACGCCTAAGTACCTGCTTGTGCTGGAAGTCTGATCCTATGGGGTCTTTTAAAATGTCCTGATAGCACATACATTTACCCTATAATGTAGTGCTTTTGCTGATGGGCAAGTTTTAGTCAATTCATAGATAACAAAAAAATGAACTCTATTAAAAAAAAACTTTATTTTTACATAGAGCTAGGTTAAGTATGTAAATAATATGTCTTTATCTTGGCCTCCTGTCATTTCCTTCACAGTGCTATTAGCCTAACACTCAACTTTTTGTGATCCTTGAGAAAGAATAACTTTACTATAAAAGCAGCTAGAGAGGTCAGAGATGTGTTGTTTCCAAGCTCTTTTACTGTTTTTAAAGAATATGTAAGGTGCACTTGAAGGAAAGAAGCAGGACAATCATTCTATTTATTTTATGTGATCTACATGTAAATTGTAATCTCACTTCCAAATGCAACATAAAATCATTATTGCTGTAACTGTTTATACCATTAAGCAGAGCCGATCAAATAGAGTTTGTTCCAATCCAGCTTCATGTGCTGCCTCGGAGCCCTGGATAGTGGGAGAAAGCTGCTTTGGATCTCCAACCAATATCAGCTTTCCACACTGAAACCTGCAAATGTTAAATAGAAGTAAAATCACTGGGTATGCGTTCTCTTATATCCCTGATATATCAACTGCATGCTTACAAATAAATGTGCCTAGAACAAAGTATCAGTCTATTGTAAACCAGATCTCTACTTACTGTCTATCCTAGGAAGTAAAACACACAGCCACTTACCAGTTGTGAAAAACTACTGCAGATAAATGGCTTTCACTACGAAGAAGCCCTTTATAAAAAACATCAAAAATAAAGTATATTTAAAGACAAAACCTTTTTTTCCCAATTTTGGATAGAACAGGGGTGTAACTACAAATCAGGGGCCCCATAGCAAAACTTTGGGGTCCCCAGGCTAATGTGACAATCTGTGTAATTGATCTTAACATGAAGTATGTATTAATGATGGGCAGCAGGAGAGCCGTCAGCACAGCCAGTACACTACCAGAGAGCAGTGCTGGGGATAAACGTTATACCGTAGTAGCACTAATAATAATAATTACCATAATGATATTTTCCATTATGATCAAATGATACATGGTCTTACACACACTTACTCTTCAACCTAATACAAACTTCTCTAAACTCTAACTTCATTAAATTATTTTTGGAGAAAACCAAACCTCAGCCCTCCCATAGGGTATTAACAGAGGTGGAACTCTGGGATTTGTGATGGCATTAGGCATACAGGGTTAATTTGTAGTCGTCTGCAACAGACGTTCAGAGGGCCATACACGCATGTGTTTAGGAACCTGGGAGTCACAGGTGTTCCATGCAGCCGCATCCAGCAGGCTGTAAAGACCGGCAGATACAGTGTCTGTACAGATTCATGCACATCTAAGCTTTACATCTTTACAGGGAGGGACAAGCAGCCCTGGAAGCAGTCTATCGGGCCGTGCATCGGTACATATATACGGATGTGTGGGAAGATCATGTCACTGATTTTGTACAGGTCGCTGGCTGTAGCTGCAAGAAACCTTGACTTCTGGATGTATAAATACTTGCAAGTATGGCCTTTGTCCTTAGCGTGGTGTGTTAGCTATGTGAATTGAGCCTTATGTGCTTTAAAGAGGAACTAAACCCTCCTATTCTTTATAGCTGGGGAAGGTGCCATCTTCTGATTAGATCTGCAGTTGCAGTTCTGGCCATCTTAGCCTCTGATTAGATCTGCAGTTGCAGTTCTGGCCATCTTAGCCTCTGATTAGATCTGCAGTTGCAGTTCTGGCCATCTTAGCCTCTGATTAGATCTGCAGTTGCAGTTCTGGCCATCTTAGCCTCTGATTAGATCTGCAGTTGCAGTTCTGGCCATCTTAGCCTCTGATTAGATCTGCAGTTGCAGTTCTGGCCATCTTAGCCTCTGATTAGATCTGCAGTTGCAGTTCTGGCCATCTTAGCCTCTGATTAGATCTGCAGTTGCAGTTCTGGCCATCTTAGCCTCTGATTAGATCTGTAGTTGCCATTGTGCTGCACATTTGATCAGTTATGACATCAGCCATTTGAAGGATGGAATAAGTACACTAGCGATTGTGACAGTTATTACTAGAGGCTACTACTTCAATGTAACTGCACTTCTACCCGATATCTTGCTGACTGAGATTTCCACTTGTGACAACTCACAATATCCTCTTGTTAAGCATATTGAGGTGAATTTATCAAAACTGGAGCAGACAAAATCTGGAGCAGCTGTGCATGGCAACCAGTCAGCTTCTCTCTTTCATTTTCAATGCTTAACTGAGCAAACTGAAGAGAGAAGCTGATTGGTTGCCATGGGCAACTGCTCCAGATTATGACTGCTCCAGTTTTTATAAATTCCCCCTTATCTATCTTAGGACCAGAACGCTTCATCAGGCAGTAAGTTTTCTGCTACAAAGAAATAAACCTACACTGAGTGACACTATAGTTAAATAAAGTTGGTGTTACCTGGCAATTGGAAGCAAGGATGCTGGCTCCATCATCTGACTGCATTCATCGAGAACCACAACTGGGAATTTAAGGTTGCTCATACAAGCAAAGGGACAAGCTGCACATGTAGCACCAACAACACGAACCTTGGGTAAAGTAGGACAATCAGAGATATTCCGGAGAAATGCATTCCTGTTGTGACTGTTAAACTATACTTTTTGTTTTCTTTAACCACTTCAAGACCAGGTGTTTAGACCCCCTTCCTGGCCAGGCCATTTTTCAGTATTCAGCGCTGCGATACTTTGACTGACGTTTATTGCGTCATGCAACGCTGTACTGAAATTAATTTTACACCATTTTTTTGGGGACAGATAGAGCTTTCTTTTGGTGATCAAGGGGGCGTGTCTGAGCGGACGTCTAAAGACGCCCGCTCAGATCTAGAAAGCTCCTGGCCGGCCGTTTTTTTACTACGGCCGGCCCGGAGGCAATTAAAGAACAATTTAACAAAGATCTGCCATTTTTTAATCCACAAGATACTGTGAGTAGCTGTGTCACTCTTAGAATACCTGGACAGTGGCTGTAGCTGATTGGCTGGGCTCTGGCAGTCTAAGGATCCTTGATGTCATCATGTCTAATGCAGTTTTATTAGACGTGAAGACGCAGAGGGACATATCACAGCTGGAGCGGTCACTGCCACAGGACTAAGGATTGGGTTATATTTCACCCCTACAGAAAACCAAGCAGTTAATCTAGCAGTGCGGGGGTAGCCCCACTGCAAGGGTTGTTCTGAGCTGGCCATACACTGCTTGACTCTTGGCCAAGTCCTGCTGACTCGTCTGAAACTTGAGCAGTGTCTGGCCCTGTCAGCACCCCTCTGTTTAACAAAAGTTGATTGTTCTATTGACTTGTGTCAAGGAACCAGTCTGAATGTTCTCAGTGGAAAAGTGACTGCAGCCACTGATGAGGTATTCCAACAGTGGCACAACCACTGCTGTCAGAACAAAATAGCTGGGCAGGGAAGATTTCCCCATCCCCATGGGCTGAATGAAAAAAAATAATTAAAAGGAGAACTATGAGGTGAGTGCTTTTCACTCACCTCATAGTTCTAGCCGACCTGTGACAATGAGACTGTCACAGGTCGGCTCAGTAGATCGGGAGGTGAGCGAACACATACCGTCGTTCGCTCACCTCTCGATCCTGTCCTGGCTCTCTGCCGTGACAGGGGAGGGGCTGGAATCCCCCCTCCCCGTTCCAATCCGCAAGCGCTGACTGGCGGAACGGACAGGAAGGGTGCGGGTGCAGCTGGCTCTGCCTCTAGATAGGCAGAGCCAGCTATCAGACACGCAGCTGGGCGGATCCCGGCATAATTGTCGGGATCCGCTTCAGCTGCGGCGTCTCAGTATACCGCAAGCTGCAGCTCGCGGTATAATGAGCCTAGGGTGACGGGAGGACACTAGTTTGTGTCCTCCCGTTACCCTAAAGAGAACTATAAGGAAAAGACTTAACCCCATAGTTCTCCTTTAAGTTTATGGTCATCTGATCATGTTTAAAGGCCATACCACACTTACATGTTGGCTGTAATCCATGTTTCTGATGCGCGTTACAGCATAAATTAGGTGCATTTAAGACATGCTTTTATTGTCATTTCTGGCTCATACGATATGCAAAGTACGGCAGAAACATCCAGAATAGGGATTTTACATGATGCAAATGTTTGTAGCATTCACCAAGCTGAACAATTTACGCATTTTAAGGTTATTCATTCACTTCAGTGGGCCTCCTTAACATAAGTAAATTAGCTAAATGCAGCATGTCCGTATATTTAACAAAACTGCAGAACATAGATGTAAACTTACCGCACAGTGATGGCTAGGATTTCTACTTAAAAAGCAATATAATGCAGTAAAATGCATATTCTTTACTGTGTAAAAACATAAGCATATAACGTGTGGCGGTGCCTTTAAGAAAAAAGTTTCATATCAATCAACTGCAATACAGCAATCTTTACAGGGATTACCCATACAAAAATACAAGAGTAGATGATGTACTAGATCTATAAACAAATAAAAGTGGACTATCAATAGACGGTTTAGCAATGAACATGTACACATACCTGTCCCAGCAGAGTCTTATTAGTGCCCAGTTTATGCTGCTCAATACTCTTTCTCACATACACCTTTTCTGCAGGAGTTAAATCTTCCTTCAGGAGAACCAGAAGCTCTTTTAGTTGCTCACTTTCATTTTCTGACCCTGCATGCAAGCTGAAGCAGACATCAGAAAATTGGTCATTCTGCAAAATGGCACAGGACCCGTTTCATAGGGGCCTTAGTGTCTACACACATTTGTTGGAGCTCTGGGAACTACTTTAGGGTAAAAACACAATGAGGCAGAATCTGGAGTAGTTGCAACTATTCAGTGTCACTGTTTCATTTTCAAAGCTTATCTGAACAAACTGAGAGATAGACGCTGATTGGTTGCTATGGGTAGCGCCTCCAGATTCTGTCTGCTCCTGTTTTGAAATATTCTCCCCTATGAAATGAAATCTGAAATTCAGTTATATATTTATATATATAAAAAAAGAAATAATGTCGTTTTCCTGTAGCTTCCTGCGCTCAAACTAGAAGTGAGACAGGCAGGAACCTGAGTAAGGATCTGCTGCAATGCCCATGTGCAGACAGGAGTAGGAAGCAAACTGATGGCCTCAATAGTGTCCTGCTGCTGATTCACTGTCTAAGGGTTAGTTCACGCCAGAAACTGCATCACAACTGCGTGCGTCTTCTCAGTTGCATTGCGATCTGTTTTGACGCGTTTGTGATGCGTTTCTCCCCCCTGCATGTCCCTGGATGATGCCACAATCAATTCTGGGGGTTTTTTGTATGCGTTCCGTTGCGTTTTAGTGCATTTACACTGCATTTTGTGCAGTTAAATGCAGGTAAAATAGGACTAGCAGTACTTTTTCTGACTGCATCTGAACAGACTGCAATGGTGTGAATACAGCACAAGAAAGCCCATAGGAAAGCACTGGGATGTATTTTGACTGCAGCAGTTAAAATAAACGGACTGCATCACAACTGCATATGGTGTGAACAGGCCCTAAGAGGGGGGTGTTTTGACCCGCGTTCTTGACCGAGCTGTGTTGCTGCAGAGGAGGTTGAAGATCTGACTGTCGTCTCTGGCAGGGGTGCCTGGATCTCAAAACGGCTGCAACTTTGAAAATTCTTTGACAGGTAAAACAGATTCCCTTTGTCAACTGTGTGCTTTAAAGTGGCCCATTAACACCCCAAACCCAAATATGTGATTTTAATGTATATTTCAGTCTATATGTGGAACAGTGCAAATTTAAAAAGGAAAATGTAAAGATAATCAGGAAGTAAATAGGCATAGTGCATGGGCAAATATGGCTGTCCCCATGTAGGTAAAAACAAAGATCATTCTATATACAGAAACAAGGAATTTAAAGTAAAACTCCAGGGAACTCCTGCGCTGCAAGGGTTAAGTGCTCATTTTTGTCTAGGTACAAAAATAATAAAGTTATACTCACTCGAACCTGTTCTTAGACTGGTCCTTCCAGCGCCTCTCCCCCTGCGCTGCAGCGTTGTAAGGATCCTGCTGTCATCATGTTCTATACATTGAAGGGAATTCATCAAATCTGGAACAGACAAAATCTAGAGCAGCTGCCCATGGCAACCAATCAGCTTCTCTCTTCCATTTTCAAATCTTAACTTAAAAAACTGAAGAGAGAAGCTGATTGGTCACCATGGGCAACTGCTCCAGATTCTGCCTGCTCCAGTTTTGATAGATTACCCCCATTGTGTAAAAAGACGCGAGGACGCTGAGGGACATACCATCACTACAGCTAGGAGGACAGAGGCTGGAGGGAGCGCTATGACACCGACTGGCTCAGCAGTTTGGGTGAGCATTACTTTTTTTTATTTTTGCCCCTAGATGAAAACAAGCATTTAACACTTGCAGTATGGGGGTAGCCCCACTGCAAAAGTTGCTAAAAAAATTGCCCTTTATTGGTGCCTTGGTTTGTACTCCCCATAAAAAAAAAAAGTTATACTCACCTGATCCTCTGAGCCGGCTTGCTCTTAGAGCGGTCCCTGGAGCCTCTCTCCCCCTCTGCTGCTGTCTAAGGTCCTTAAGTCATTACATTCTATACACCGTCTATAGAACATGAGGATGCCGAGGGATATATCATCACTGCAGCCGAGGAGCGCACAGGCTGGAGGGAGCGCTGTCACAAAAATAATCCAGATCCGAGGTCCGGGTGAGTATAACTTTTTTTTTTTTAACCCTAGACACAAGCGAGCCCTTAATGATATAACAAGATGAGCAGCGCTAGGAGTTCAATTAGCTGTATCTCACACAAGTGGCAGTGATTAAAACAAAAATAGTGTTTCCTTAACCCATTCACTAATATTAGATACTGCAAAGTTTTTAATGTCCAGACAATGTGATGAATTTTTAGTGTATCGTGCCAAAACATCAATATAAATAAAGATTGTGATATAAAATACAAGCTGCTGTATTAAAGACCGCTGGATCTGAAGATGTTTAAACCGAATTAACAGCGCTAGTAGGTGAATCAAATTACCATATAATCGTGTTTGTGGACTCTAAAGGTGCCCATACACTGCACAATTATCGTACGATAATCGTATGCGATCGGTTTTTCGTACGATAATCGAGCAGTGTGAACGGAGACGTGCGACCGTTTCTACTGTACGGTCGCACGTCTTCTGTCGAACCAGCATGTTCGAAAACCAGCCGGGAATCGTACGATTCTCGGCTGGTTAGAACGGTGCTCGGAAGACAAATGCCGAGCGGGCCGGTGTGCCCACGCGCACACAGCCCGTTCAGCATTGCGGTCATCGGAAGCCCGCCCCTCAGGGGGGCGGGCTTGCGATGATCGAGAGTGCGATCTGCCTGTCCAAGATTTTTTTAATCCCTGTACAACCATCGCAAGACTAAAGTCTTGCGATGGTTGTAGAGTATATGGCCACCTTTAATCATAAAAAGACCACATAAATGCAAGTACCGTTAATCAATGAAAAAACACGGCACTGTACTAGTAAATGAACATGTTTACGGTTAGGGGGTGACTTTTAAACAAGTGTTTCTAGGTGTCTCAGTGTGTAAAAATAAAGTGAATAAATCTACACAAATTGAAGAAGTCCTTCACTTTTTTACACCTTCATGTGCATGGATAACATTAAGGCCCCATTCACAGTGAGCGATTCGCAAATCTAGTTGTAGTTCAAATCTAGCATTGAGCAAACTAGAATCGCGGCAAAATCCGCTCCAAAAAGGGCCCTGCTGTAGCAACGCATGCCCCACGACGGACAGAGCCCCATTGCCATGCATTGCAGAGCGATATCGCACAGTAAATACCCACGATATCGCGCGGATTAAATCGCTCAGTGTGAATGGGGCCTAAGTGACAAATCATATACTTGAAAAAATTCTGGTGAGTAAACAGAAGTATAAACGAAAATAATTATGAATGACAATTAATTGTGCTGACAAAAAATGAATATAAACAGCTACAGTGTCTGTAGTAAACAGCTCCGCTTCAAAGCCAAGTAGCAGAGCCTTCCAATGTTCGGTAGGGTAGTGCTTTCCTGGGGTTTGTATTAAGATCAATACATCCGTTTTGTCTGATGGGACACAGTTACTGCGGCGTCTTTCGTATCTCGTGCTTTACCATCAGTCCTCAGTTTAAAGTATTCCCACAGTCATGCAAAGAAAAATTATTTCATCGGGTAATAGTTCCAGAAATAGTTTATTGAAAAAAAATTTAAAATGAAAAAAAATCACATTCGGCCGGTCCAAAAACAAACGTGTTTGGTATGGTAGACCCGCCCCTACGCGTTTCGTCACCACCGACGTCCTCAGGGGAAATGCAGGACGTCTGAGGACGTCTGGAACTATTACCCAATGAAAGAATTTGTGTAGATTTATTCACTTTATTTTTACACGCTGAGACACCTAGAAACACTTGTTTAAAAGTCACCCCCTAACCGTACACATGTTCATTTACTAGTACAGTGCCGTGTTTTTTCATTGATTAACGGTACTTGCATTTATGTGGTCTTTTTATGATTTAGAGTCCACAAACACGATTACATGGTAATTTGATTCACCTACTAGCGCTGTTAATTCGGTTTAAACAAGCGAGCACTTAACCATTACACATTTTTTTCCCCAGAGTTCTGCTTTAAATCATAGCCCAAGGCTGGTAAGGGTATTTACGTGAAGCGGATACCTCTAAACCAGGGGTAAGCAAACTTCGGCACTCCAGCTGTGGTGAAACTACAAATCTCATAATGCATCTGCCTATGGGAGTCATGCCTGAGTTGTCAGAGTGTTGCAATACCTTATGGGACCACAGCAGCTGGAGGGCTCGAGTTTGCCTACCCTGCTCTAAACTATTCTGCTCTTATGGGTAGCTATTTAGCAAAGTTTCTGTTTTTACTCCTCCCTATACAGTCTACCTATGAAGGGAATATTCATCCCATGCTTCTTGGAAACAGTATTATCTTTAATCTTGTTTTATGTATATATGAGAATGTAACTTCAGTTTATAATACAGATGGAATATTCTGTAAAGACCTATTTTTTTAGTGCAATAAGTGTTTATTGAAGATTTTCCACAAACATACATACATACATACATAGAGCATGGCATTCCAAAAAGTACAGCTATCATGTAACATCAGGAATATGCGTGAAGGGTATAAACTGCATAGTGTGCCATGTGACAGTAGAACCTAAGTGTAAGGCCCACTCAATCTATGTTGTCACTATAGTATGTGAACAAGACAGTAGGTCCCAGCTTTGGGGCGCCGCGATAATCCAATCCCCCAGCCAGGGTAAATTAGCTTGAAGAAA